AATATTCCCAGATTGGTGAGAGGTAGAAAAAACTCTAGCCTGTGTCATTCTCCAGGATAGTCAAAAGCCCCACTGTCCCAGCACCCATGGCAGAAAACCTAGCAGGTATCCTATGAATGTGTACCAATCTGGCTCCTTTGCATCACACACCCACATTCCTCTCTCCCTTTTCTGTATCCCCTACTATATGGTAACCACTTGAAAGGCTAGACTAACCATGTTTTACCCTGAGATTGATTGAGTTTACATTACTAATTAGCCCTTCAAGAGTTAATACAGCAAAAAGTCCCATAAGAGACTCATGGCATACAGTTTTAAGAAAGCAAAAATGGAAACTAGGCATCTCCATATTTGTGGCTGAGGAGAAGGAAACCTCACCCTCAGTAATCAATTAACTTGTGTTGCAAACTTCTTAGATCCTCCTTTGGCAGTTGTCCCCTAGCCTCAGGACCGCTAGGTGACTCAGTGGATAGAGTGCTGGCCCTGGAATCAGGAAGACTCATCTTCCTGAGTTCAAATCTGGCCTCAGACACTTACTACCTGTCTGACCCTGGCAAGTCACTTAACCATATTTGCCTTGGTTTTTTCATCTATAAAATGAGCTGGAGAAGGAAATAGCAAACCACTCCACTATCTTTGCCAAGAAAACCCCAAAGGGGGTCACAAAGAGTCAGACTATATGGCCCCAATTTAACATATGGATCATTTGCCACGTGCACAGTTCTGTGCTAGGGCTTGGGGAGGTAGAAAGATAAATAAAACTTGGTTTCTGGCCCTCAAGGAGTTTATAGTCTACTCAGTGGTCCACAGAATTGGTGATAGACAAGGGAGTATTGGGGATTCATGGTCATAAAATGTAGAAGCTGTATTCAGCCTCGCCATGATTGATTGTTTCTGGAAGTCTGAGAGGCCATTTCCACCTTTCCCACCCTCAATGTAAATTGGAGCTGTTCTCTCTGAAGGAGGTTTTCCTGAATGGTTGGACATGCGTCCTTAGCTAATGCTGCCCCATTTCCTTGCTATCTAAAGCTTGACAAGATGGATTCTCTGAATAAATGTAATGTTGGCTGTGGACTATCTCTCTAGGATCTATCAAATTGGCAAACAATGTCTCTTTAAGAAACCCCAATGCAGTAAAGTCTCCACTCTCCACTTTATATTATAAATCTCTTCCTTCCTTGTAGAGGAAATGATTTACCTATTAAACTCCACTTAAGTTCTTTAGCTGAGCTTCAGACTATGCAGTGAGGCAGTGTCACAGTGAGTAGGGAGATTGAGCTTCTCATAGACATGAAGGAAGCCTTCTTTATTTATTCATTTATGTATTTATTTATTTATTTTTAAAGAAATCTCATGACTAGCTACTCAAGAGTTATCTCTGGTCAGAAGGTGTGACCTAAGCAGATCCAATGAAAACTTCCTTTAATTTCCCTCTATTTTGGCTATGGTAATCAGCAAGAAGGAAAACACCAAATGAGAAAGTTTGAGGGATTAGAAAGAAAACAAAAAGAAGTCTGAATCTTCTTGCTGAGTAGATGGTCAGAAGGAGGCTTAAGGAAAATGATGCTGCCAAGTAGAAGAGCATACCTTAGGATTTTCTGCTGGTACTAGTTTCTGTCTTAGAGGTCAGCATATAGATATCTGCATCAAAGTTTACATTTTGACCCCAGATGTTATATTCTACCTGCAACCCACAATATTTTGGAGCAGCTCATTTGGGAAAAGAGGTTGTTGGCTGAATTACATGGCTATAGTTAACGGTACAGTAGAAAGGCCCAGGAGTTAGGGAGACATAGGCTCTGCCAATAACTGAACAATTAGACACATGACCTTGGGCAAATCGATTTTCCTCAGCTGGCCTAGATCTTCTCTCTGTAAAATGAGGGGCTAAGATTCAATGTAACTCTTAAGGTCTCTTCCTACTCCAACGTTCTGTGAGTCTATGGCACCAGCTCCTGTCCTGGAGTTACTTTGTTGAGGCAAAAGCTGCTTACCCAGGGGATTCCCTGGTAGGATTTCCCATCTAATTAGTGCCCTCTGATTCTAGGATTGGAGTCTTAAAGTCATGTCGCACTATTCTAAAAGGCCAAGGGTTTGCCAGGTATACAATAGTAATTAGAAATGTGGTCTCGGTAGAAGTAGCAATTTTTAAGGGACCAAGTTTAGAGGCAGGTTGAAGAATGAAATAATTTGTTTCATTCAGATTTCCTTTGGCTTTCTTTTCTTCAGTACTTGTTTTGTGGCTTTTGAGGCCCAAGGGCTCAACTTAGCAGTAGGTAACCAGTCCTACATTTCAAGCTGAAAAGAAACTTAGAGACACAGGTGCCTGGAGAGGCTAAATGTTTCTAATTCAACTCAGTTTCATCAAACATTTATTCAGCACCTTTTCTTCTGAGTAGTGGAGATGAGGAGAGAGGGTATTACCAACAGGAAGCCAGCCTTTGCAAACGCCCACAGAGGTAAACGATGGATGCCATGTATCAGGAGCAGCAAATAAGCCATTGTGTCTGGAATGGAAGGTGCATGAGGGAAAGTTAGATTAAATGGATCTGAAGATCCAAGTTAGAACCAGATTGTGGAGGACTTTCAACAATAGTTTCTATTTTACCCTAGAGGCCAGAGGGAGCAGCTGAAGTTTTTTGAGCAGGGAGGTTGACATGGTCTCAGAATATCAGTTGCACAGTGTCACAGAGTAGCAGAAAAACTTGGATTGAAATTCAGGTCCTCTAACTCCAAATACAGAATTTGTTCATAAAGGAATGTTCCTTTTTTATAATTGACCTGAGAAAGTACTTTAGTGAGATCTGGACCATCTCCTTACAGCTTCATGTCTGCTTATCCAAGTCACTCTTCTCTGAGCCTCATTCTTCTCATCTGTAAAATGATAGCCATAGATTTGATCTCTAAGGTCCTTATCAACTCCAAAATTCTATTGTTTTGGAGTTTGTATCTTTCTGTACCAGACTCTGCTGAGATGTTCCACTCTGCTGGAATGCACCATCTTTTCTAAAAGACTAAGAGGCCATGTGTTCTGAATAGAGCCTATAGCTCCAGTGAAGGGCAGAATGCAAAACTGGGATTGGATGGATATACTTGATCTAGTTAGGGCCACAATCTTCTACTCCCTTGAAAGGAAATGTCTTCCTTTCTCCCCCTTTCCCTACCTTTTCCCCAACAGTGCTTTTATTTCCTAAGCTCTTTGAGGGAAATAGAACCACTTCGTAGCACAAACCTAGAAACTCCAAGGTAATTTGAGGACCTCAATTACTTGTAGGAGTAGGCACAGTGGGATTTTGATGAGAACTGCTCCTCATGCCAGGAATAGTCAATTCAACAAACATTTCTCCGGTTTGAAAGAGGTCTTTGGGCTCACATAACTGTAAAGTTGGGGAAAAATCCATTACTGAACAGAATCGAATCCTTCTCCCTAGTTTTCATTTCCTTTCTCTTTTCTAAGAGAAATCCCATTCCCTTTAAGTAGAACTATCAAAGCTAATTGATCATTCATGCTCTATATGAATGTAAAATCTGTCCAGTATTGACTGCCACAAAATAATTGCTTTTGGGCTCTGACTGTAGATAATCAGGGGAAAAATTGTCTTCTCCTAATCACTCCTTTGTAAAAATATCATTTTTTCCTCATGGGGTATTAATCACTTTGAGGTGATTCCATGATGATTTTAGGGAAGAATGAAACACATTCTGCCTCTGCTCTGAGTCCTCAATTCAAGCCTTCATTAAGTGAGGAACTGATCTTTAGATGACTTCGTATTTCTGACCAGGCTCTTCTCATGAATAAGGAAGGATCAGTTGCTATTTAAGAATTAATGAGAAGGTATTCAGTGTAAAAATATCTGAAGGGGGAAACAAATAACCTAAAAGGTTTATCCTTTGAAGAAGTGGAATTGTTCTTTATAGACAGAGGATGTCCGGACCCAAGTGGCCAATTCTCCTGAAGAACAGAGAAATGGGCATAACTTGTCAAAAATAGCAGCCACCAGGAAGGCTAGAGCTTTTTCAGACGTTCTTGAGGTACTTAAGTGAATGAATGAGTCAGAATGAGTAGATGAACCAAGAAATGGTTCCTGGGCATTTGAATAATATTAGCTTTTTCTCCTTGGTTCCTTTCCCCCTCCCCAGATCCTACCTCCACCAAAAAAACAAAATTGTGTGGGAAACTCCATACCATTGGTCCAAAGAGATATTTGGGGGAACGTTTTTCTTCTTCATTCCGCCCTCCCTTTTCCCTGGAATTCATGAGCTTTGGGATGGAATCTTCCCAGGCTGGGCCATTTTTTTCCCTTTTCCTTTTGGATTCCAAACACTGTCCCTTGGGCAAAGGTCTCTGAGACTCATGCTCAAGCGGCTGCTACTTTAAATTGATCTGCAGCGGAATTCCAAAAGTAAAGGTCAGCAGGCGAGGAAATTGCACTTCTAATAGAAAACAATGTGCACTTTCTAAATTTGAACCAAGCCGTTTCCGCTCTTTGATTTAAGTTTAGTTGCTTCCTGGGGTTCCGTGTCAGGCTCTGCAGTTGAATCTCTGGCCCCATTCCAACCTAAAATTGCACTCTCCCAGTGAAATCAGAAACTGAAGTGAGGTCTGGCTAGCTATTCTAGTAAATACTATTTATCCTAAATATTATTCTGCTCTGCATTTGGAAATTGGTAACACTAGTTTTCCCCTCTAGATTTTCCTTTGGTTTAATCACAAGCTTCCCTGGAGTTAAGTAGCTCCAAAGGGATGTGCTGCTGTTATAGACAGTAGTATATAGACATTGATATTCTGGGTCTCTGAGCAGAAAGGTCTTTTTATGGGCTTCCCTCCAGTGAAGGGTCTGCTTGGGCAGTAGTTGTTTGTGCCCCAGGCTGTAGAAATACAAACCAGCCCTAGGAGATGGTGGCAAATATACAAAGGGAGTCTATCAGGAAATTGATTGGCATATTGGCAATGGAGATAATGAATTTCTCTCTTCTCTTCTCTCTTGACTTTTTTTCAGGACCCTTAGAAGCCAAGTTTCTCGGAGCACTACAGTACCTCTGGCCCCTATGGAGCCTCCAATCCCCCATAGTATCCCTGTCAGCCCAAGCTCAGTCATGGTCCAGCCCCTGCTGGACAGTCGCCTCTCGTATGGCCGGCTTCAGCACCCACTCACCATCCTGCCCATTGACCAGATGAAGACAACCCATGTAGAAAATGACTACATCGACAATCCTGGCCTGGCCCCAGCAACTGGCTCCAAGCGGCCCCGAGGAGGGTATCCTGAGCCAACCCCAGGCCTCTCTCGATGTGACCAGGATGTCACCCACCCCTGGATCTCCTTCAGTGGGAGGCCCAGCTCCATCAGTAGCAGCAGCAGCACATCCTCAGACCAGAGGCTCCTGGACCACATGGCCCCACCCCCTGTGGCTGACCAGGCTTCCCCAAGGGCAGTGCGAATTCAGCCCAAGGCCATTCACTGCAAGCCCCTGGACCTGAAGGGGATGCCGCCCCAAGAGCTGGACAAACACTTCCTGCTCTGTGAGGCCTGTGGGAAATGCAAATGTAAGGAGTGTGCCTCTCCTCGGACTTTGCCTTCCTGCTGGATCTGTAACCAAGAATGTCTCTGTTCAGCCCAGAGCCTGGTCAATTACAGCACCTGCATGTGCCTGGTGAAAGGGGTCTTCTACCACTGCACCAATGAAGATGACGAAGGCTCCTGTGCTGACCACCCCTGCTCCTGCTCCCACTCAAACTGTTGTGCCCGCTGGTCCTTCATGGGGGCCCTGTCTCTGGTGCTGCCATGCCTGCTCTGCTACCTGCCAGCGACTGGCTGTGTGAAGCTGGCCCAGCGGGGCTATGACCGCCTGAGCCGGCCTGGCTGCCGCTGCAAGCATACCAACAGTGTCATCTGCAAGGCAGCTACAGCAGTGGACAGCAGCAAGACCAACAGAGCCGAGAAGCCCTTCTGATTTTTCTCCTTCCCCACCTTGTTGCCTCGGGCTTTGTCTGCTCCTGACCCACAACATTGCCAGAGAAGACTGCAAAGGGGCCAGGTCTTCTGTGTCCTGAAGATTCCTTGGCTCATACTCCCACCCCTTCAGATTCTGGGAAGAATCAGATCCGTCACCTCCCTCCTTCCCTTCCCAAACAAGGCACTTTGGGCTATATTCAGGGTTTTGGAACTTTTGTGTGGTTTTTGTTTAACTAGAATAGAAGCAGGGAGGGGGGAGAGGAGTGTTGTGTGATATGGACTTGAGATTTTTCAGAAGACAGAACATAGATGTACACACACATCCGGAAACTGCAGCTGCTTGGAATGCCTTCCCAGCCCCCTTTCTCCCTCCCTTCCTTCCCTCCCTTTGTCCCTCCCTCGCCGGATAGGGGCTGGCTGCCTGGGAGTCTGAATACCCCAGGAATCATTAACTAGGTGGCTTGGGTGCCTCTGCAGAAGAGGATTGGATTCTCGATTTCTCCCCTCTTCCCCAATGTGTCACCAATGTCTTGGTGAAGGTGAAAAACTAACATGCTATATCCACACTTTAAAAAGAAGAGGGGCCAGTTAAGTACAAAGTAGGTGGGGGTGGGGGGATGTTAGGCATCTCCCTGTTTTGCTCCCTGCCCCAAGTTACAATATTAAGGATGAGTTTTAAACTAACTCCCAAATACCTTTCTCTGCACCCCTGTCCTTCATCACTAATATTTTTGAGATATTCCCACCTATAGCCTCCAAAATTCATTCTCTCTTAGTTCTGATAAGCTGTCACAGATTTAACTGCCCACCAAAGGTCCTTTTTTTTTTTTTTTTTTTTACCTCCATCCACATTCTTTTTAGAAATAATATGGGTGGGGCAGGCAGAGGAAGGAGAGACCAAATGTCATTTTTGCCAATGAGAATCTGGTCGCCATGTCCAGTTATTACATTTTGCTAGAATAAGTAAACTAGATGGTAACAGGTTTTAAAGACACTCATTTCCTTCTCTGCTCTCCCCAAGTGCTGCTTTCCAGGTCCGGTTTGGGGAAGAGAGGACATCCTGAAGAAACATGACCTCTGTTCTCTGTCCCCATCCCTGTCTCTGACCTTCCCCCCTTCCCCACCCATAGAATTTTTAATTCTGAAGAGAGACAGTCACTCTCCCTGGCCAAATGACGTTTGAAGCTTGGTGGGTTTTCTTCCTATGGCCTGCTGCCGCCGCTGCTTAGCTTCATAGCTTCTCATGTACAATAGTGTGTCTATATCTTTGTAAATAGAGAGATGACAAAAAAATAAAGTCTATTTTAGTGTTAGCAAGTGCTAGGGGGAGAGCCAGGAAGGCCCAGAAGGGGGAAATTTTCCCAAGGGGGTTCTGGAGAAGAATGCTAGCCAGTGGTGGGCCCCCCAAAGATGCAGTGACCCTTTCTCTCAAGGTGCTAGAGGGAGTAGAATGGGCACATGTAAAATGGGTACGTACTTGTTGCATGCAAAAGCTGATATTGTAGCTTTCTTTGCTCCTCCCCCATTTGTTTTGTTTCCTGTCAAGTGGAGAAGTGTCCAGGGCAAGGCCGGCCGGGGGCAGATGGAGTGGGCACAGCACCATTAAGGCTGTGCCAGGCATGGATAGCATTCTCCAGGGAATCTCATCTGTTCCACAGAGAATAATAATTGCCCTTTTAGGAAGGAACAAGGGAGGCAGTCTATAGTCCTGTGTAGGATACTTTCCAAGGACCTTTTTTTTTTTTTTAAGAGTAGTGGTAACATCTGATTTAAAATAAATTAACTGTAACCATAGGTATTTATTGATTGGGGGGAGGAGGGGCTTGTGTTTTAGACTTTCTTATTTATATAAATATTTGCTAGCTTGTAAAAGCAGAACACGGAATTACCACACCTGCATTTTCTGGTGCTGGTTCATGTAGCTATCCTTGCCATAGACATATTACGATGGGTATATATATATATATAGATATATATAAATGTTCTTGCACAAATCTGAGGGAACAGTAGGAAGGGAAACACATTTACAGCCAACCACTTATACCAATTGAATGTATCAGATGTCACTACTAAAGGAGATGATGATAAAGGTTTTCCTGGGCAGAGGGTTAGACATCCTGTGCCTGCCTAGCGAGAGTCATCCATCTGTGTCTGCTGGGCAGTGGATGGTGCTGGCGGTCCTCAACTTGCCTCCACAGAACCTGGACCAAGTGGTGGGCTAGCTACATTTTGATGGCCATTCCCCCTTGCACACCCATTCTGTGGAGAATTGATTGACCCATGCACACAACCACACTGATCCTCTACACAAACACTTTGCTTACAAAGTAGCCTCTAGGACCTTAACTTCCAGTGTACATAGTTTGTAAACCCTGATTTCTTTGGGTTTCTTACTTTTTTCCTTTTGGTTTGTTTTTAGCCCTGCTAAGCTAAATGGCTTCAGCTCTCTCTTCCCCCTTCCCCTCCCCAATTTTTCTCTGCCTCTACTATTTGTGGCTACTTTAACACAGTGTGACAGATGAAAACTTCTGTTTATTTTATTTTTTTTTTAAGAACTTCTGATCTCCAAACTATTCCTTAGCCTGTTTCTGCATGGGGCTTCTCCCAATTGGAGCAACAAACTTGTTGAGGTTCATGCGCATGGATGTGGAACTAACTAGGAGGACCTGCAAGAAGGCCACCTGATAATATATGAGTTTGTGCTTCTGGCTATTTGCATTAGCTGAGTGATTGGTGGACAAGAAGGCCCCATTCCCTCTCCTTTTAATGGTACCACTTCCCACTTCTATCTGGCTCAGACTACCTGTCCTTGCCTGGAGCCAAGGCTCAAGGGAAGATGAGGTCACTCATGAAGGGCAAATATATCTATTTAGAAAGTCAATGATAAATCCCACAGCAGGTAATAAATCCTAGCCCCCTGAGCTCAGAGGATATTTTTTTTATTGGAGGTGTCCCAGTGAGTACCACTCTGGCACCTTGAGGAGCCAGGTAGGTGGGGGAAAGTGTCCAGGCCATGATGGCCACTATGCCCAGGCCCAACATTTCTCAATGAGCTATCCAGCATATCCCCATTAAGATGTGCCACACTTGTTTTTCCCAAGGGGTAGACATAAGAAACCTTCATAAGCTTAATAAAACACCTTCATATCCCCATTATGACATTTGAACCATACAGACTTGTGGGATAGACAGGACAGAGAGGCTGAGGCCTCAATGAACAGATGAAGAAACTAAAGCTAAAGTAGCTTACCCAAGGTTGGCAAGCTGAGAGAACATAACAGAAACCCAGGTTCTGGGACTCACAAGGCCTGTGTTCTGTTGACTGATAATGCTCAGGATGGGGTAGGGGTGAGTGAGGGCTAGAGTGACCCTTTTAACACCAACTTAGCAAAGCTCCTCAGAATGTCTCCATGAGAAATTAACTAGCACAACATTTTAGCCTTGCTAGCCTTTTGGTTCCCTGTCCTTTTGGAAACAGTTTCACACCCCTTCTGTAAACTACAAATCCTGAGTTTCCATTTTTTTTTCCCTGTTGGTAACTGTGTGCCTAGGGTGTCTGTTCTCACTGCCCCAAAGTTTGATTTTGTGTTACAAAAAGCTGTTCAAGTCCCCCCTCCCCATCCATCCTTACCTTTGTTTTTCTCCTTCATTTCCCCCTTCACCCTTTCACCCTGCAACAAAAAAAGTTACCACAGAAGGGTTCCTTTGTATAGAATATTTATTTTGAAGCTCTATTTTAATAGTATTTATTTTAGAAAGTCTACTATTGTAAGAGTTCTTCTGTTTGTGAAGAAAAAAACAAGTTTAAAAACTGAATGTACTGATCTAGAAATATATATAAATATATATTGTTAAATATACCCAGGACTGCTGTGGTGTGTTTGTGTATGCATGGGAGTGAGTGTGCTTATTCCCACCTTAAACCCATGTGTTCCAAGACGTTGAGTTGGTCTCACTGTCTGTTGGTACAGGATGCCGAACTGCCTGTAACCAAATGGTTCCCTTCACTCTTTCAGGTTAGAAACTGACAGACCCTTTCCACAATAAAAGCCTGCCACACACATTTTCCAGAACATTCAGAAAAGGAAGCTTGTAGAAGGAGCTATCTCTAAGCAATTTGAGTACCTTGACTCACCTTCCCCTTATTTGTAATCAGGATAGAGCAACTGGTTTAATGTATCAACTCCCAGGAAGAGCTGAGGATTTTAAGGTGAAAGGGAGGAAACAAAGCTCTTTGTGTTTGGGTTCCTCCCCACCCCATTAATGGGACTAATGAACATTCCCTGATATCTGTCTATCTTTGCCTTGGCTTTAAAAGCCTTCAGAGTAATTGTCACCCTTTGATTCCTACCACAGATCTGTGATCTCATCCATGTGTGTTCTGCTACAACCCATCCCATGTCTTCCTCTGTACACAGATAATCATATATCACAAGCTCCTAATAAGAGGACAAACCCCACCAATTCCCCCATCTGTTTATGTAGCTGTATTTAGTTATTTATTTGAGGGAGGAAATCCATCTATAAGGATCCTAAGGTCAGGCAGCCTTTATTATGGAAAAGTAAAGATTGCCTTCTTTCTTGACATCTGTCTATGTTTTAGGACAAGGGAGGATTTTTCAGTGTGCACAGCTCTTCCCGAATGTGTTTGGGAGAAGAGGGGCTTGGAACACCTGGGTTCAGTTCCTGACCTGTTGACTGTTACTTCCTGCAGGCCTTTTGTCTCAAAATTCCCCCTCCATGCTTAAAGTTGCTTCTCTTTCCACTTCCTTCTAAGGCAGTCGCTGCAAATGATTAACATTTCTTAGCAGCTGGGTCATCCCCTAAGAAGGAAGAGAGTGATGGGTATTGTCAGCTCAGACCCAGAACTGACTAGTGCTGTTTATATGGGGACCTAGCAGAGACAGGAGTAGACTTTTTTCCCCTACAAATCTATGCCCAGACCACATTGGCCCACATAGAATGGATAAAGGCTAGTTAAGGAAAGAGACAAGACCTGTGATTTCATTAATGGAAGGAACTTCCAAGGTTAATCAGTACTTTTAAATCTTCTTTAGGTGAAAGGGTAAATAATACATATGTGTGTGTGTGTATATATATATATATATATATAATGTGTGTATACATATATACATATATGTATATGAATGTGTGCATACATACATATATGTATATACACACATATATATTTTATAAATACATACACATACATATGTATGTACATATATATTTAATAGGCTAGGTCCCCATTAGTTTAACCAGGCCTTATATTTTTCATCCTCAGGGTGAAAGAAATTTGAGTGGAGACACTATGCAAACCTTCCACAATGATGCTTTAATCATCTCTATGAAAACCTTTTTAAATGCCTACAAAGGGGCTGGGTTTATTTTTTTGTTTTGTTGTTGTTTTTTTTTGGTGAGGCAATTGGGGTTAAGTGACTTGCCCACAGTCACACAGCTAGTGTTATGCATCTGAGGCCGGATTTGAACTTGGGTCCTCCTGACTCCAAGGCCTGTGCTCTACCCACTGAGCCACCTGGCTGCTCCTGGGGCTGGGTTTCTAACGTTTCACCTTACCACATTTCCCAGGAAAACTAGATCAGAACTTGTGCTTTCAAGAAATCAAAATATTGGAAGTAACATACAGCTGCCTAAAATATGCCATTGTGGAGCATATTCTACTCCCTTATCAAAACATCTGCTTAGCCCTGTCTTCCTCCAACCTGGTATGAGGTGGGTAGGGGGTGGGGCAGGGGAGGAGGGAAGCAAAGGGTAGAAAGCTGTGAGTTTATTAATACTATGAAGAAAAAACTTTGGATTTCACAGAAAAAGGAATCAAATATTTTGATCTATAAGGAGCCTCAGATGTGATCTAGTCCAACTTCATCATATGACCAAGGGAAAGAAGCCCAAAGAATTTAAGTGAGTTGCCCAGTCACCTACCTCTTCACTAAGTGGCGATGCTGAGATTTTGGACCCATTTCCTCTTATTCTACAGCCATTTTTTTTTTCCTTTCATGTTACACTGAGGAAGATGAGCTGATTTTAAAATAAGGCAGAAAGTAAGTTGGGGTCAGTCAGGCAAATTCTTGGGACACCAAACCACTTCCTACACGACCCTCATTTTTAAAAGAGGCCTTGGGGGTCACACTATTTAAGTCAGACAAGTGCCCCACTATCCTCTTGGGGCAACAGGAATTTCCTTGAGTCCAGACTCTTTACAGCAGTGAACTTTCCTGTGGCCAGGGACCCCAACCCCGTGGAGCTCCTGAAGCACAGACTCATCCATTCCCTCCTCCCACAACCACCAGCCCCCTGTTGTGACTTTAAATTAGTAAACTTTTCAAAGTACAGTCGTGACTAATCGAATTAGTGCAAGTAGACAACTCTTATGCTGGAGGTGTGTGCCAGATGAAAGCCGGGGAGGACATTTTTAAGAGCCTAAAGTTTATTCATCCAAACTTTAATAAAACAATATGTCCATTGCCTGGGGCAGGTGTAATTTTCATAATTTATGGGTCTCTGAGACAGGAAGAGAGCTCAGGGTTTTATTGTGTTTTGTACGATAAATGGCATTCCAATTGTCTACATGTTGTTCTTTGAGGGCTCTTGTCTGGCAAGAACACAAGTCCTGCTGGAGCCCACCTGGGCCTCTTGCCCTGAGGCAAGGGATAATTATGAATACATCTGTATCTGTTAAGCAGGAGATGATTGAAAAACTCCCCTCATTTCCTTATGTCATTAGAAGACACTTCCTATGCCGACACCTATAGCAATACTTAGCTTGGAAACAAGGCTTGGAAACCTTTCTTTCCATTCTCTCTCTCTCTCTCTCTCTCTCTCTCTCTCTCTGTCCTCTCTCTCCTCTCCTCTCTCCATATCTCTCCTCTCTTCTCTCTATCTCTCTCTGTCTCTCTCTCTGTCTGTGTGTGTCTCTCTCCCCCTCTCCATTTCTCTCCATCTCTCTCTCCCCTCTCTCCCCTCTCCTCTCTTCTCTCCATCTATCTCTCTCTCTGTCTCTCCACCTCTCCATTTCCCTCCATCTCTCTCTTCTTCTCTCCCCTCTCCTCTCTTCTCTCCATCTCTCTGTCTCTGTCTCTCTCTGTCTCTCCCCCTCTCTCTCTTCCTCTCTCTCCTCTCTTCTCTCCATATCTCTCCTCTCTTCTCTCCATCTATCTCTGTCTCTGTCTCTGTCTGTGTCTCTCCCCATCTCCATTTCTCTCCATCTGTCTCTCCCCTTTCCCCTCTCTTCTCTCTTCTCTCCATCTCTCTCTCTGTCTCTCTCCATGTCTCTCTGTTTCTCTGTCTTTGTCTCTCTGTCTCTCTCTCTCTGTCTCAGTCTCAGTCTCTGTCTCTGTCTGTCTGTCTGTCTCTCTCTCTCTCTCTTTCCCCCCCTCCTCTCCCCTCTCTAGCCAAATCTTTTTCTTTCTAGAGTGTGAGAGGAGACAGGTCAAGCTGCCTGTTCTTTCTCTAGGCTGTCTCCCCTCCCTTTCAGAATGGTTATATTGGAAGCAACAAGATCACAGGAAAGAATATGATACTCTGAAGGACAAGCCAATTGGGGGAAAGGAGTGAAGTTCTAGGTCAAGTTATGACTGTTAGCATTAAGAGTTATTACTCTTAATAATGTACTATGACAATGTGCTATTGTCAATATTTCATAGATGAGGAGACTGAAACTTAGATGTAAGTGATTCATTCTGCCCACACTGAGTCAAAAGTGCATTTCAAACCCAGGTCTTACTGACTTCAGGTCCAACCCTGGATCCAGTCCCAGGCTGCTTCCAGCAATGATCATTTCATATATATTAGCACTCACAGCAGACAAATGGTGTACCAACCTTATAAGTTCTGATATCATCCTAATGGGGAGTTTACTTGTTACTGATTGGGAAGATGAGTTTTTCAAGGTCCTGGGAAGTCTTGGGGTGGAGAAGGGAGGAGATGGGAGAATTTAGTGAAGGGGGCCTTCTGGAGAAATGAAGACTATGGGGAGGGTATAATTGTGGGGGGGGGGGTGGTATTGATAGCAGCAGCAATGCTTCATTCATTTAATCCAGGCAGCTCTGAAAGGCTAATGAGCTTGGGGGTGGAGGAATAACTTGTTATTAAAGGCTTCAGCATCTAGGAGTGAGAAGGTACCTTAGAGGCCAAATAACCAGATTTTAATCTGGATAAGAATCTGCTCTATATCATTTAACAGGAATTCTTAATGGGGGGGGGTCCATGAATCCAAGAAGACTGTGAGCTTGGATGGGAAAGATTTTCATCTTTATTTTCACTAACTTCTAACTGAAACTTAGCATTTCCTTCCATTCAGGAATGTGTTGGTAAATGTTTAACAACCAGGTCTAGGGGTGGGGGCGGGGAATGTACTACTTTTAAGTTTAATCTGCATTATTAACATTGTCTCCATCACTTTCTTAAGGTTAGGCAATCATCAAAACAGTAAATCAAGCCAAAATTTTTATAGCCTTTGCTGATTTCTGAGGAGAAAATTTAACAATCTGGTACAGGCTGGCACCAGCATACCCTTGCTTGAATAATGATAATAATCATAATAATAAGTAGAAGAACAATAGCTAGCATCCATTATATATTGCTTTGCAACTTCACAAATATTATCTTATTAATCCTCACAACTGCCCTGTAAGGTAGAAGTTATATTAACCCCCATTTTCCAGATGAAGAAACTAGGGCTGAGAGACTTAGGGTCCACAGACTAGTAACTAACTATCTGAGGCAAGATTTAAACTCAGGTCTTCCTGATTATTTAAAAACATGACTTTGAGAAAACTTTATCACCAGAGGCTTTATCAGGC